ACAAGAAAGCGTGTGAGGAGAACAGTGAAGCTTAGAGAATGTATCCAGTGCCCGTCCATTTTAAATTCATACTTATTATACAGGAAGACGAGCATTCAACACAGCTTATTCTTTTGAAAATGGTTCTTCAGTCTCCTGCACATGTGCCTGCTTGCTGACTGGCAAATTCTCTTGCAATCCATAAATTAAAATCCCACTCTTTCCTAACGTGCTTTCACTTTGAAATGTCAAAACAGTTTGTATGTATGTATATACGGGTGTGGATTTATCCTATATACCCACAAAGCCCACTGTATTTCTTATTTGGCAACATTAGCTCTTGAATTGGGCATCGTGTAAATGACTAGACTGTCACGTAAGCCTCTCACAGAATCAGAAAAACAACCGGCTAGCAAAGCTGAAAGGAACCTTAAAGATGACTTGTTCCAAATCCTTCACTCCAACAGGGATCCAGAACGGGAGAACGGGGATTCCGTCAAAACAAAGCCAAAAGCTGGTGCAATGCCCTTTACAGAAAACATGTCACTAGTAAGTCAGAACTGGAAATCCCTTTCTCTGATCAACGATCGAAAACTGTCTTTTAAAAATCTCTAGAATTTTGTTTTGTTTAAAGAATAAAAAAATAATAAAGGCAAAGAGTGGGATGCTCAAATTAAGGCTACTTCTGCCCCGTCACCACAGAGCCTCCGATCTGAACGGGGTGGTCCTCTGTTTCTCGTCTCCTGAAGAGATGGCCTAACACAGTGGTTCTCAACCTTCCTATGTTTCAATCCTTTAACACACTTCCTCCTGCTGTGGTGACCCCCCCAACCATAAAGCTATTTTCATTGCTACTTCATAGCTGTAATGTTGCTACTGTTATGAATCAGAATGTAAATATCTGTGTTTTCCAACGGTCTTAGATGACCCCTGTGAAAGGTTCGTTCGAACCCCCAAAGGGGTCACGACCCACAGTTGAGAAGCACTGGCCTAACCAGGGACATTTCATTGGCTGGGCACCTCACCCTGGGTTGCCCTGTGAGTCCTTGGATGGGTCAAGAGCCTTACTTAACTAGAACCTGAGGTTAACAATAGTACTTAACTCCGAGGGCTGCTAAAGGAGAGGACTAGGCAGTGGCCTTAGTGTGCGTTACAATGTCAAAGCTGAAAAGAAATGAAGAAAGTTGCCACTTCATAGCTTATATCATATCTCTTGTGGGGAGAAAAACCACAGATTTCCTTCTATGAAACTACATGCAAAAACAACATTTGCGGCTAGTGAGTTCAGGGAATGCCCTGCGCCCCGTGTGGGTTTGCCTGTAATGGGACTAGAGGCACGTATACAAGACTCGATACCCGGGACCTTATAAAACGTCCCCAGAGCCTTCACTTTTATTCTCCTGGACTTAAGGACGACCTGTATCCCTGCTCTCTGGCCTCCCGTTAAATCTTTCTTCCACCTGGGACCTGCTTTACTTCATCCTTCAACTCCCTGCGGTCTTTGGGTGACTCTATCCAGTGCCAACTCAAGCTGCCTCCCCCACCGGTACCGCCACAGTGAGTGACACATCTAGGGAGCGTGTGTCCGGAAATGATCAGAGACATCGACTCAAGAGCATCCCACTGAGGAGAGGAGGCCTAAGCCACAGGTTCCAAAGGCAGACATGACAAGCTCCCGACTTAGGTTGTCGCTGCGATGTGGGCTTGAGCACGTCACTGTGTAACGAGGCTGCGTGCATTGAAATGACTCTCATTTGGCCCACGATGTGACTTACCCACACAATGTGTGGGGGTTCCTGGAGTGCAAGTACCAAACCTGTGATTCAGGTGTGTGGGGGCACTTCTGTCTTCTTTTTACACCATTAAGTTACTCTTTAAAAAGCAGGAGAAGATTGACAGTACCGAAGACAACACTCCCCTGAGTACTAGAGAGAGAGAAACGACGGAGAAGACGTGCTATAGTAAGAGCGCTAAGTTCCTCCTTGGAAGTGACTGGCGTCACGGGTGTGTGTTCTCTCCAAGGCAGACTACAACAAGGAATGGGGGTAGGTACGTCTCAAACCACCAAATCAGTAGGAGTTTGATAACCTGACCCCAGATGGGATGGGCTCAACTGGTTTTTGATAATACGTTGCCTTATAGTTAGGCAGCTGCCTCTTAGGGGGGGCGGGGAGGGGCAGGTGGGGGTGGAAAAGACCATTTGATTGAAATATTGTCTTTGGGATTCCAAAATGACAGTGATAATGGTGGAGGTTCCTGCAGCTAAATCTTTTTTAGTAGCAGCCCAGGAACCACGGAAGAAGTCAAGGGAGACAAGGGCCTCGCTAACTCCAGTTCTCCAGCACCCGTTAGGGTTGAACAGCACAGACTACGGCCAATGTGAGTGAACCGGATAATGACTGTTATATAGGCTGGCTCACAACAAGTGTGAAGGGTTAGCAGATGTTCTGTGTGTCTCTGCTGTACTGGGTGTGGGGGGCTGTGGGGGCTGGGGAGCCTTTCCTTCAGTCATTAGAATCCTTGGGCTCTGTGAGACTGGGACGGGACCTCAACCATGAAGACAAAATGACAGTTTGTATTTGGTTGTAGAGTTGAGGCTGAAAATGTACACAGTTTTACGATGCATTGTAATGGCCACATGGTGGTTTGTATGACTCTGTGGTTTCTATGGACCATGCTAACAAGACTGGACCCTGCCTGAGGATGGGCACCTTGCTTTTTCCTTCATCCACAATACGATGCCTGAGGCAAATCAATGGCGCAATGGATGTCCCCTGTGTTTGTGTCTTCTTGTGACATGAACCTGGCACCGGGTGCTGCTGCTTGAACCCAGAGCATTGGGTGGCGCTGGAAAAGATGTCTACTCATGAGTGTGCAAGATCGAGTGTGGAGGGAGACAAGGTTGGAGTGGATGGCATGTCAACCTTCACGGGGCTTGGGACCCTGTGGTTCGGTCACCCCCACCAAGCACCCTCATCTAAAACATGGCAAGTAACCTTTCTTCCCTCTCCCAGTTCTGAAATGCTAACATTTAAAAAAGATGTCTGGACCCAGAAGCTTGCCAGAGACAAATCATAGCAAGCTCTTCAGCCTTCACAGCAGATGACGATTAAGTCTTAAGATGTAAAACATTAAAATAGAATAAAGAAGTTCTGGGACCTTCCTGCCAGATGGAGGCCCCTAATGCCATTCTCTCTTCCTCTCCCACACCCAGCAGCTACGTTTCCAGGCCTCTATGGGAAGAACATAAATACTCTTAGCCAGGGGTGGCTCCTTGCTTCCATCTCGGGCTATCACAGTCTGTCTGAGAAACATTTGAGTTAGGATGGAAGGGGTCATAGTCGCCCAGACTTCTATAGATTTTTTTTCCCTGACAGAGTCACAAAAAAACCCCTAAAACCAGGTAAGGCACCCCCCCCCCCCCCCCCCCCGCCGCCGAGAATTTCAAGAGGGCTACAGCAGAGAGCCTTGATACCATCACTGTGCAAAGGCAGAAGGAATCCACAATTGAAAAACATAAGCAGACATTTTTTTTTCCTTTCAAACAAACATGTGAAGGATGGATATTAGGTACCGATCTGAGTCTTCTCTCCTCCCAGTTCTCCAGACGCCACTTTAAAAAGCAAAAGGTTTTAGCCACCAAACCACCAGAGAATAAACAGCCATCACATTCTTACCCCTCCACACTGATATTTACTCTCTGATAAATGGCAATTGTAAATAAATCTCATTTAATCTCTAAAAGCCACAATAAAAATCTTTAACCTCCAAGGTAGTTTACAAATGAGCATGCACACCCTGCCAGCGCCAGAAAACACAAGGTCTTGAATAAAGGGTTTTAACAAGAGGCACGTTTTCCCTCTGAGAATCTTATACTGACCTTTTGATATATATATATATATATATATATATATATGCATTACGGAGGAGGAGGAGAGGGGAAACCCAGCCCCTCCCACGCTATTCTCTGTACAAATCGGCCAATAAATCTAAGGAAGACACAGAGCAAGAAGGGAAGCCAACAGGTGGAAAGGGGTTTTTGTTCCATTAGAAATGGTCAGACACTTGATCTGTGCTCGCGAGTCTGTTTGTCTCAGGGTGTCTTTAACGACGGTTTTATCATCACGACGCTGATAATCAGGAATAATGGTCACACTTCCACTTTGTGATTCCACAGCATGGCCAGCCTAAAGAATTCACCACACAGTTACATGGAGTGGGCTGCTCTGTTTGGCTTCACCCCAGGGAGGCGTGCAGCATCCCCAACCAGCTCTCCCGCTTTCACAGATGGGGTAAACTGAGGCCCGAGGCATCCAACAACTCTTTTACAGCGTCTCAGAGCAGAGAATTCCCCGAAACTAGAAAAGTTTGTGGATGTCTCGGGGCAGTCCTCTCGCTCACCCTTCTGGCCGGCCATGCCGCTCTCCTTCCCCCGAGTCTGGGCTGGGTGATAAGGACTGGGGTACCTCCCCTTCGCTACAAGGCACTCCAGGGCAGTGTGTGGGAGGTCCACACACACACACACACCCAGACCCACAGGCATACTCGCACACACAAAGCGCCATGCAATCTCTGCAGTCACTCAGCACAGCTCCAGCCAGCCTCGCTCAGCCTGTGAATGCACAGCGCAGAGCTTGCAAGGCCGGCCTCCTTGGGCTCAGGGCTGGGGCTTCTCTGAAACGGGGCTCTGCCCTTCTCTTCCTCTCTTCCAGGCTTCTCTCCCTCTCTCTTTTTTCCCTCCCACCCTCCACCCTCCCACCCTCCTCCCACCCCTCTCCTTCCACCCCTTCTCCCCCCCCCCCCCCCAACCAACCCAGAGGCACTGATCGTGTTACTGGGGTTCCCTGGAAAGAGGGGCCATCCCCAGCCCTAAGCGGCTAGCAAAGACTTCAGGGGCACAGAAGCAGCTCCAATCGCAGGACCCAAGCGCTCCTCCTGAGCAGCGCAGGAATGAGACCCCCCACTTCCAGGCACAGGCGAGCAAGCTTGCCACAGAAGAAGGAATCCTTAGAGTAGCTTACCTTTTTCATGAGCAGAGATTCTGGAGAATCATTGCAGAAACTGGAGGGAAGTGGATGAAGACAAAAAAGACCCTTTTCCAGCAATCCCTGGCCTCCTGGTATCAAGACACCAGGACAACATCAAAGCAACTTAGGGGGAACACTTTAGGGGCCTATTGTCTGCTCTGGTCTGATCTGTTTTTCTTCTGTCTCCCCCTCTTGCTGCGGTGACACTTGGTACGGCCCAGGCATTCATGCCAAGTAGCTTTCACACATGGAAGCTTGTCTCAAGCAATTGCTGACAAGCCACAAACAAGACATTCTCCCTCCCTTCTCCGCACCCCCCCCTCCTCCCCCCTCCACCTTTTCCTCCTTCCCTCTTGTCTCCCTCCTCCTTTCTTCTGAATGCAAACTAAAACTCCTCAGTGCCAGGCAGGCTCGCAGGCTTGGCCTAGCTGAGCACGCAGACAGACACACACACACACACACACTCACGCACACACTCACACTCGCTCACTCACACGCCAGCAGCTCGGCTAGTTGCTGCTGCACTGGTGGAGTTCAGAGACAGGAAAAAGCCCAGGCTGAGTTGGGGGCAGGGGAAAAAGAGGGGCAGTAAGGACCCCACGGAGCAGCCTCCCGTGCCCTAGCAAAATGGCAGTGGAGAGGTGAGCCCCGTGGAAAGCCAGCAGTGGCCACACATGTGTGCACACACACAGACTCAGAGGCCGTCTGAGCTCAGGAAGAGTAGAATAAACGACCCAGCAAGGGGAAAAACCAAGGCCCGTGGCCTTGGAGTTGGGGGAGTGGGGAGATGCGGTGGGTGGACCCGGGTAGGTGTTTTTCTTTTTTTGTTGTTTTTGTGTGTTCGTTTGTTTTTCTTTCTGCTTCTTCCTTATTATTTCCTGAAGGATCTAGTGGTCTGTCACCATGGAACAGAGCGCAGATCCAAGTCACTGATTAAAATAAAACCATGAAATGTGGAAATGTGGGAGTAAACTTAACTGTAGGTTCAACTTGTGCCCATAATAATTTTTTTTTTGTGAAAGCTAAGCCCCCGCCCCCAACCCAAACCCTCGAGAGCAGCAGCAAGGAGCATGGTCCGTAGTGCAAACTCGGGGAGCGGTGAAGTGGGATGCTGAAGTTAGTGCCCGGCTGCTGGAATTTATGGAAGGTGGGCATGAGCTGGAGGGAGAGGGGGAGTCTGGGTGAGCTGTTTTCTAGGAATGAAGGGGACCCAGGGAGGATAATGAACTAGGCTAGAAGGAAACAGGAATGTGATTGGTGTGGAGGGAGGAGGGGGGAGGGGGGGAGGGAGGGAAGGAGGGAGGGAGGGAGGGAGGGAGGGAGAGAGAGAGAGAGAGAGAGAGAGAGAGAGAGAGAGAGAGACTGCGACTGCTTCAAAAATTAAAAGAAGAAAAAGGAAAAAAAAAAGTCCACAGACTGAAACACAGAGTAACTGATATGGCAGAGGAAGGTCCAAACTGAGCAGAGAGGACAACAAAGAGCATAGAGATCTGCAGCCGGCATGAGCTCAGGAGGGCTGGTGGACAGTGGCAAGGGACAAGCTGATTACAGGACTTTCATATCTCCAGTAAGCTTCGGTGTCTCACGGAGTGCGGCCTGCATGGCCATCCTGGTGAGCCAGGACCCGAATGGAGGTTCAGCCCCGACAAATGCTAAGCCTGAGCTCCGTTTTCACAGGAAGGTCACTTGTATTCTTTCCCCAGAATCTTCTCCAAAATGAAAGTTGTGTGGACACAAATCACTACTCCCTTGACAGGCACGCAGTAGGAAAATAACCGGGACTTTTTACACACTTAAATAACCATGACTTTTTACACACTTAACCCTAGCTAAATGGCTTTGTCACTGCCTGAAACAGTGACAAAGACATTTGTGTCTGTCACTGCCCCCTTAGCTTCGTCTTGTTATCACCAGTCCTGGGAACGGTGTATTTGAATTCCAACTTGCAACCACGATGGCTGTAGTAATGATAATTACCCTGATTCTGAACATTTTCTCAAGCATTTAGATCATGAGGTCATCTTTACTAAGACCATTTCCACTCACAGATATGTTTGTTTTTGTTTAAGACAGAGTCTTACTATGTAGCTCTGGCTAGCCTGGAACTTGCTTTACAGACCAGGCAAGGCTCAAACTCACAAAGATCCACCTGTCTCTGACTCCTGTGTGTTGGTACTACCGTGCCAGGCAACATATATGTACATTTACACACACACACACACACACACACACACACACACACACACACACACACCTGCTCCAGAGGTCCAAGGTTCTATTCTCAGCACCCGCAGGGCAACTCACAACTGTCTGTAACTCCAGTTCCGGGGGATCTGATGCCCTCTTGTGGACTCCTTGGGTACATGCACACATATGAAAATCACCCCCTACATATATTACACTATTTTAAAATAATAAAAATAAATACGTTTTAAAGTGAGACTTAAAGAAGGTGAAGGGTGTCTGAGGCCCCAGAGTAAAGCAGAAACGGAACTCAAACCGAGCTATACGGGACTCTGAAGGCCCAGCGTTCCTGCCACACTGTGCCCTCCCACTGGAGGAGCCCACAGTCTCCCGGGTGCCTCATATCCAGGCACTCCAAGCCCACTGGCTGTGCACACAAGCATGCTGTTTCTTTGTGGACCGTGGGTTTGGATCCTCTACCTCGAATCCAGGGGAACTTCTGACCTTTCCCCACCAGGATACTGAGTCACCCTACCCATCGGAGTGGCAATGACTCACTGCTCGCCGCCCCGCCGCGAGGCCTCCCAGACAACAATTGCACAAAGGGTCACCTTAACCTTCAGCAACTGACCGTTTGCAGACTTCCCTGCGATGGAGATAGGCACCTAAGACCAGGAAAACTTTCCGTTTTTAAACAAAAAAAAAAGTATCTTCAAAATTAAAAACAAAGTAAAAACACATGCAAAAGTGGGGATAACACGGGGTAACACACTCACATATACATGCACACACACACACTATAAACACATGCACACACATACAACACAAACATGTTCACACACATAATGCACACCCATGAACACAATATACACATATTCACACAGTACACATAACACACACACACATATGCACACATCATACACAGAAGCATGCACATACACACATGCACACATGTACAATCATAGGTGCACATACCCGCAGACACTTATGCACACACGTGAAACAACTCCATAAGGTATGGACTCTCATTGCTTGTTTTCGGCATGACGATGCGGAGGCATGGAGGCTCTGTAACTTGTTAAGGTCATTGGGTGAGGAAGGGGTGGCTGAGATGCTGCTCAGGCAATCTTTCGAGTACCACTGTCTCCCCACTGGACTTCAGCTACAGGGAGTGAAAACCAAAATGCTGAGCAGGAGAGAAGAACTATCATGACCCTAATATTTGGGACCTTTTACATCTTGCAGTGTTTTTCAGGACCCCTGGAAAACCCTAATTGTCCATTTCTTCCACAGTCCCTCCTGGCAGAGGACAGAGTGTGCTGAGCCTCTGGTCTGAACTGGTTGGTGGAGGCACCAGGTCAAAGTGTCAGTGCCTCCAGCTCTGATGGCTTCCCCTCCCAACTCCAAAGAGAGAAAGGGAACCCGAGAGGGTGCAGGAACAGGTCAACACACAAATGTTCCTAAGTGTATTTCACAAGGTCTCTGAATGCTAAGCATCCTACAAAAGCGAAGGCCCTGGACTCTTGGGCAGGAGAACAGGATGCCAGTGCCCTGTGGCTGGTCAGCTGCTCTACCTAGCTCGCTTCATCCACAAATGTATTCTGCCTAATGGGCATTGGCAACTTTGTTGTGTTTCACCAGAGAGGATTCTCACCAATTACAAATTCATTTGCATTGAAAACAGTCTTTTTAAAATGCAAATACCTGTGAAGAAAGTGAAGCCAACCAGCCGTTCATACTTTAGTGTGAATTATTTCAATACTTTCCTACAAATAGCCATTCAGATTGGAGGAACAAAACAGGAAAGCAAGCAGAAGTTTGGAAGTTTAGAAGCCTCCGGTGTAAAACTAGGTCTGACGTGGGGGTTGCTCAAAGTAATAGAGAGATAAAGAACACTATGAAATGGAACAAATTTTGAGGAGCTATAGAAAGTAAAGACAATCTTTTATTTGCAACAAACCTAGACTGAAAAGGTGTGGGGGGACAGGTAGGGGGGATCTCTTGGAACTTGCTCTGTAGAGATGGCACCCTGACCTTGAACTTATGGTCATCCCATCTCCACCCCCCCCCCCCCGCCCCCCCAGTGCTGATAATTGAACCCAGTGCCTGGTGCAGGCTCAGTAAGCTTTGTTCAGCCATGAGGGCCTTGATTGACAGGAAGCAGGGAGTCCCAGCTTTGTCTTCCTCCATATTGGGTATCCTATTTTTGCATCTGGTATAGAGGATGGGTTCCTCCAGGATTACTGTGGGACTGGAGTCCCACTTAAAACACAGGGAAATCCTCAGATTTCCAAACACCCAGCTTATAAATTAACCTTTAAAAATAAAAAAGCCGGCCGGGCGGTGGTGGCGCACGCCTTTAATCCCAGCACTCGGGAGGCAGAGCCAGGCGGATCTCTGTGAGTTCGAGGCCAGCCTGGGCTACCAAGTGAGTTCCAGGAGAGGCGCAAAGCTACACAGAGAAACCCTGTCTCGAAAAACCAAAAAAAAATAAAATAAAATAAAAAATAAATAAAAAAAAAAAAAAAAGCCCCCTCATAATTCGACATCTACCTCCCCACATATATTTAGCTGTGGAAAAGAATGTGGGTGTTAGACAAATGAGGCGTCCTTCTCCCTCTCATCCCTGGAAGGAGAACTATCTTACAAAAAGGAGAGAAACATGCAGGAAACTAACAACAAACAGTCTCCAGATTTCCCAGGCTAAGGAAGCAATTTAGAGGCAGACAGGACTAGAGTCCACATAATAAGAAAATAGCCGGGCCGGGCCGGGCGGTGGTGGTGCACGCCTTTAATCCCAGAGCACTCGGGAGGCAGAGCCAGGCGGATCTCTGTGAGTTCGAGGCCAGCCTGGGCTACCAAGTGAGTTCCAGGAAAGGCGCAAAGCTACACAGAGAAACCCTGTCTCGAAAAACCAAAAAAAAAAAAAAAAAAAAAAAAAAAAAGAAAAAGAAAATAGCCATGTCTCCTAGTAATAAATAGGATATATTATACAGAAACAGCCACCCCCTACACACACATATACACACTGATTGAAAACTGGACATGGTTGCTGCATTCTGGACTAAAAGAGTATTTACAAACTAAATAACCCAAGCTAT